CATACATATAGAGAGATTTGACTGTATATCTCACAACAACAACAACAATCCAATAAATCCCACAAGTAAGGTCTGGGAAGGATAGAATGTACGCAGCCTTACCCGTATTTAACCACTTGTGTGTGATGCACACCACCAAATATAGAAAGAGAGAGAGAAAAAGAAGAGAGAAAGATTTAATCCTTTTATTATTATTATTATTATTATTATTATTATGTTACTTTGAGAGGGAAAAGAAATGCAATTTAAGAACCAACTACTCTATTCTTGTTGGAAGTAACAAAGTGAAGAGCATACCAAACCAAACCTTCCTAAAAGACATTGAAGAGTGAGAAAGTACACTGCTTCTCCTGACTATTAAACAAACTTCAGATCAATTCCCTCCTCTTCCTCTAGTCTTATATATACAGAGAGAAACACAGACCAATTAATTTCTCACATAGAAAAATAATAATCAAGAATTTCAAGAAGATGTTTGCTGCTGAAAATGGACTCAAAGGAGATTCTAGGCTTCAGGGCATTTCTGAAGCCATTAGAGTTGTTCCTGATTTCCCTAAACCAGGTAGTTTTCATTTTTCTACCTGCATTTTGACCCCTTTTTCTTTTTATGGGAAAGGAAGAGGAGCATCGTAGCTACGTCAAAATTGTCTAGTCTATAAGTCACGGGTTATCTCCGTCCGTGGGGGAGCGCCACATGTCTTGCTACTGGGGCTAAAATTATCTTTGTATGGTTTATAAGTCGCAGGTTATACCCGTAGTCAGCGGGGGAGCCACAGGTCTTGCTACTGAGGTTAAAATTGTCTCGATATGATCTATGGGTTATCCCGTCAGTCGGGGAGCCACAGGTCTCGCTACTGGTTCTATGCGTTCGGTAGAACCCTGCAGCTCAAAGTCCTGTATTTATCTTAAAAAATTTAATTAATATGTAAAAAAATCTATCCCGAACCCAGTAACTTATCGTGTTCTAGATTCTGGAACCCATATACTCAACATTGGCTCCGTCTCTGAAGCCGCCACTAATGTAAGCATTACATCACATACACTCGAGGTGCGGTCCTTCCTTGGACCTTCGAACCCTGTGTAAGTGCGGGATGCATGTCTTTTTTTTTTAATACTATTTTTTCCTTGTTTTTGCAGGAATAATGTTTCAGGATATTACAACTTTGTTGTTGAATCATAAGGTATTTAAAGACACAGTGGACATATTTGTTGATAGGTACAAAGAAATGGACATCTCTGTTGTTGCTGGTAAATCTCTTCTTTCACTTTTTAACTATTAGAATTTGTATCTGTTTTTTCCTGTGTATGCAAAGGAAATATTTTTTCTTTCACTGTATTAATTTCACTGAAAAATTTCAGGTTATTTCTCCTTGTTTTTGGTCCTTTTTTATTAATCATTGAAGATTAGGTCATTATTCCACATTAAAATACAGAATCTTTTTTTAAGGAAATTTCACCCACATTTGATATGTTTGGTGTGGAATACATTTTTTAAAGCATAAATTACTTGTGTTGGATTAATTTGGAAGCTGTATTGAAGTGTATTTAAGCACCTGCCTAATTTTTTATATGGCAAAATGCAATTATCTTTGAGTGTAATGACCAAGTAATTTTGGATTTTTCCTGAGTTCTAAAATATTTTATTCAATGAGAGAGACAGTTAATTGTTTTTTTTGGTGATACAGTGCATTTGGTCAGAATTATTTAATTGTAGTATGATAGTGTTTTCCATAATGTTAGGATATCAGGAAAAATTGTTCTTCACCCTTACTAATTTGCAAACTTTTTAATTTCTTTTCCTCATTTTTCATTAATGGCCAAATTACTTGATAGGAATTGAAGCTAGAGGGTTCATGTTTGGTCCATCTGTAGCTCTAGCCATTGGTGCAAAGTTTGTTCCTTTACGCAAGCCAGGAAAATTGCCAGGTATTCTTAGATTGATTTTCTAAATATTCATTAGAAATTAGAACTTCTTTTCATTATGAGGAGCACTTAATTATCAGTAATGCATCTCATTTTTCTGGTGGAAATGTTGTGAAAATTTCATGTTAATGTTAGAATTTCGCTCTCGGATCCATCTTAACTATCAAAGTCAGAGTCAGTATCTTGTGATTCATCTTTTGTTCGTCAGATGAGAAGATTTATCAAAGAGAACAGGATAAGAAATGGATCAACTTAAGTAGTTGATTAAAAAAGGGTAGTCCAATGCATTAAGCTTCCGCTATGCGTGGGATACAGGGAAGGGCCGGACCACAAGGGTCTATCATACACAGTCTTACCTTGCATTTGTGCAAGAGGCTATTTCCATGCTTCGAACCCATGACAGTTACTTTACCAGTTACGCCAAGGCTCCCCGAAGTAGTTGATTAAACAAACTAATTTCATGTAGGATTGTCGCTGACCGTATATTTAATATCATGCATAATATCTTTTACATGCTATTGGGCTCTGCTTCCATGCTGCCCATTCCATCTTGGAGTATGGTCCAGATATGGAAACCATCCTTAGAAGATTGCTTTAAAGGTTGGTCTTGAAAAGGAAACCTTATTAATGCTTGACTACTATTTTTGGAAAGTCTTATCTCAACATTGACAACACTGGACAGGTAAGGTAATTGCAGAATCATATGAACTGGAGTATGGGAAAGATTGTTTGGAGATGCATGTTGGAGCTGTACAGCAAGGGGACAAAGCAGTCATACTTGACGATTTGGTAGCTACCGGTGGAACGCTCTCTGCTGCAATTAAACTTCTAGGTAATTTCTGTGATTCTCATGGTTCCTTCGTTCTTGGGCTCGGCTAATGATGTTTTCTATGCTACAATGTAGAACGGATGGGGGCTGAAGTGGTTGAATGTGGTTGCGTTATCGGAGTGCCAGAGGTCAAGGTAGTGCTTGTTTATCATTCTCTTTGACTTTGCTTTGTTTATTTAAAATTCTCATATTTTTAGGACTTGAAACAAGTTGTTAATCAATGCAAACCTTTGTTGAAGGAAAGTAACTGTTTTTAGGCTTTCGTGTGTTTTTTATGAATTTTGCTACAAGTTACATAAAAATGATAGAAAAAAGTCCAAAAGAACTACTAAAAGTAGGGCCCCCGGGGTTAGCTCAGATGGCAAAGGTTGAGGGACTTGTGTTTTAGGTCACATGTTCGAGCGTGCCCCAAGCGAACTAACTTTGGTATTTAAGTGAAGGGTAGAGGGGCGAGCCCATCATCCCTGAGTTTCAAAGGCTGCATTTGGTTCAAACAGTTGGCTCCAGGCGGATTTCCTTGGTCTTTATTTTATTTTTTTTATACTGAAAGTGGGTCTTATTTTTTTATTTATAAGTCTCATTTTGTTGGCATTTGTTCTTTCAGTTTTTTATGATTGAAAAGAAAATAAATATCCTTACCGGTTTCCTTGGCATGCAATAGTTATTGCCTACAGGAACTAGATCTCATCTGCAAATCTCATAAATACTACATCTGCCCTACTGCTGTTCAAATTTAACTCTTGAGATGCTCTAACTAGACAAGCTCAGTTTACTTCTTCTCTTTTTCTGTAACGGAATTTAGGATATTTAGTAATTGGAGATACTTATTCCTTGGCAAATATAAGCTCACTCATTTATTTTCTATAAGTGTTTTTTATCACTTCATTTTTATTGGAACAAGCATGATCAGGGTACTAGTTAATTTTATACAGTCTGAGCTCTGAATCATCTGTTTTGTGCAGCACAATTTGCAAGTTATTTCTTTATTTTTTTTTTTCCGTCTGATTTTCTCTGCGTTGCAGGGTCAAAGCAGGCTAAAGGGAAAGCCTCTCTATATTCTTGTGGAACCGCGGGAACTAGAAGATTTTTAATGAGGTACACCTTGTCATTTTCTTCATAGATTCAGTTTAAGAAACAGATTATAGTTCCTAGCTATATTGTAGTTTGCATAGAAGTAGATATAAATGTTCGCTGAAACACTTGGTTTTCTTGTTCCCCTTGTTCTTTTCGCCATGTTATCACTTGTCTGCCTATTTTGATTCTTATTTTGACAGGTTAGTTCTTTACTATTAATCAGAGAATATGATAAAAAATCATTTTGCATTGACTGATTTATTGAAGTTAACTATGAAGAAGCTTATCCACGCCTGGGTTAAATGATAAAAATGACACGGGAATGTATATCAATTAACGATGGTTGTGATAACAATATATGTAAAAAAACATGTCCCGTACTTATTGAAGTGGTATAAACATCAGGTGCAGATAAGTTTTTTCTGCTAACTATTGCCATTGGTGATTCAAATTGTTTGTATTCGTCGCTATTTCAATCAAAATCAAGATTCATGATTTATAGTCTTTTGTTCTATTTGCAGTTATGTGAATCTTTAGGTTGATTTCTGTCAAGAAGAGATGATGCCGATGAAAAAATTCACAGCTATTTGGTTGACCAATGCTCAAATTTTGGTTTCCATTTATCATTTATTGGCCATTTCTTCTTTTTTTTTTCTTTTTTTTTTTTCATATGGTTCTTTCAGTTTCATGATTAGTTGAATTTCATTGTTTGATATTTTCTTGTAAAAGCTGACTGAAAATGTGCCATGACAGAAGCTGGGTTTGACCATTCGCTCTTCTATCTAATTTACTTAATGCGATTCATTTAAAAAAAGTATTTTACCATATTTTAATATTTTTGTTCAATTAAAAATTAGTTCTAGCATTCGTTGTTTGGTGTTGACTGTTTAGATTGTTTTCCTACATGATTCTGATTTCTTCATCGTTATATGAAATTTAGTGGACAATTATGGTTAATTGCAAAACGATAGCAGAATCGTTCGGCACACCAATTAAATCTTCTTTAAGTTGTGTGCATCGACAAACAAAGGTTTTTATATTTATCAACAGGTAACTTTTATAACAAGCTGGCCAAATTGTAATGATAAATAAATAAAAAGAAGTCGGCATAATTGCAGATGACTTTCTCCCTCTAGATTTAATTCGAGATAAAGTTGCTAAATAGACTACCATGAAGTCTGAATTGTCATACCTTGCTGTATCTATATTCTTTCTTATTTTCTAAATTAAAGGTAAGTGGAATAAAAATTACAAAGTTCAAATTAAAAAATACGACAACTTGTGAGGATACTGATATTGTAGAATTCTTGGGCACTTCCACCACCCAAGGGAAGTTTCCCTCTTTAGGCTATACTCATATAAGGCAATAAATTATGGGTAATTGAGATCAGAAGATGGATTTGAGCAGTTGTAGCTAACTGATGATCTTGCAATGGTTTCATGGAGCATAGAAGATTCACACAGTCATGAGAAGTAGCATCATATATTAATAATCCTGGATCCACAGCACGATTCGAATCAACATGTCCTGCTCCGATGCCTAATGGCGTTGCTAGGCTATTGTTGCCGCATCAACAATGGGGGTTTGAAGTACTGCCTAAATGGTTCACACCTTCATGGTGGTCATCATAACACACCTAATAGTGATGGACTCCAATCTGATTGCACAACTTTTGGCATGGCAGCAATTCCAGTAGCATGAGGAGAGGACATGGATACGCCTGATTGAAGAAAGGACTCATATTCTAATTCTATGCTGGTACAGTTGCCAGTTGTACATACAGTAGAAGGCCAGGCTCCTAAGATTAACATGCCTGGTACCATTCTCGCTGCAGCAGAAACTAAGACCCCCTTCAGCATGGCACCAAAAGAGGCAATTGCTATAGAATCTTTTCATATTATGGAGTAAATCAGTACCTAACCAAAATGGATATTCTGTCAACACCATCTGCAACAGCCTGATCCATACCAGCAAGATAATTCGAAGTATAGCTTCCTTCTGTCCAGGTCACCTCGTAAACAGCCAGCATAGCATGTGGAGCAACTCCGCATACTGTTGCTTTGGCATATCCATAGTACGGAGCAGATTGAGCATAGTTTCCAGCAGCAATGGAGGCTAGATGTGTGCCATGACTGGAATTATCCCTGGCAGAATTAATGGAAATGTTCACACTAGGATTAGCTGCCACATTGATTGAAATAAATAGCCCCAACGAGTTTCCTGTTGCACATCAAAGAATTGAATTCCGTCCCCTCACAATAAATTCCTTCCACCTTTTTGGGATTTCAGGTGTATCATCATCTGTAAAGCTAGCATAATCTGGCCAGAAGACGGGTTGAGCTTCAAGAACCATAGGAATATAGGAGCTTTCAGCAGAATGTTGGCTAGCGAAAAGAGGATCAGCAATTTTGATGGAATCAATGATGGAGCAATGCTACTTGGAGAACTCAAAGTGGACAATGTAATTGGTTCTCTCTGCAACACAGAAAAGAGGAGCAAACAGAAATCATCAAAATAAAAAACCAAGAAATTTTGCCCACCCCATGAATGATCTCTGTCTGGTTTCTAGAGCTATACCGCCATTAGTCAAACATGCATCATGCATCAACAATCAACTGAAGCTTTGTATTGAGCCATAGTTTCCAGATCATATTCCATGGCCATTGTGCAGAGCTAGATTCACCCTCATTAAGTACTCTATAGTATGGGTTGACTGTGACGGGAATACTGCTGGTCCATTCATGAGATTCCTAAAATGTGTTGATCTGCCCAACTCCAGAATTAGTTGATCCATGCTAGTTACTTCCAAGTCAAAGTAGTTTTTTCTAAAATCACATACCATTCACTTCCTGATCCACAATAGGCAATAGTTGCTTTAACTTCTTCCACAAAGCAAAAAAGATCTGGATATTTCAGCTTCAGGGGTCTGTGTTCCGACCTTGTGGCTTGCTGTTGTGGGAGCATGTGGGGCCTCAAAGACACTAAAAAGATATTTCTTTATTTTGTGCACAAAATTTGAGGATCCATGTAGGTAACTGGCAACTTGAAGTGGAATGTGTATCAACAGGTTTTTGAAAGGAATCTGCAAGAACTATCAGATACTTGATTTATACCTTCAGCAAGGTGGAACATGAGCTGTCAACTGGGTATTAACATCTTAAATATAGCAGATTATGCAGGAATAATGAGTATGTAATCTTACCAGCTGAAATGAAAGTGCAATCACCTGAAGTTATTAAAGGGTTTGGGGAAACTGAAGGACTTATTCATCAGATTGAATCCCTTTTGCTTAGGGTCAGGTACCTCGCTTTTTGTTATTACAAAAGTAGCTACTCCTCTCAAGACTTGTATAGACACCGAGGATGATCCTCTTAAAATGATACATACAACACTGTAGAAGGGGTTGAGGAATATTTCTTCCACAGAAAGCATAGAGTTGCATTAATTGTTTTCAAACTGCCCATCAAGCAACGGACCAGATATTTGCGTCTTTTTTCCGGTAACTTTTCCTTGAGCAGAATGCAGTAGTTTTCATCGATTTTGATATTTTCAAAAGGCCACGTTCTGATTTCAGCAACTTATGCAAAGTTCCAGTTCCAATCCCACAATTACGTTTTACCAATAATCTTTACAAGAGCAAGATCCATTGTTGAAGTGGTGAAACCGGCTACGATCTCTAACAACTATCTCGCGATCATAGACCTTCGATATTAGTTTTATGGCAAGGTGGCAATCAGCACAGACCCTTAAGTTCTTCACAATTCTAATAGAGGTCCCAGGTGGTGTACTGATCAACATAAATGCAATTGCAATTTTTTCACTATGGTACGCCAAAGCAGTCTCTTTCTCCTCTTCTTCTATGTCAGCAAGCACATTGGATGTATGAGGGACATAACCTTCCAATCTCAACAATCTAGTCATTTCCGCAAGCATAGCATATATAGCCTCAGTTTTAGGATGGGTTCTATCTCCCATAACAAATTCATGCACACGATTACCCAACTCAACGAGACTATGCCCGGGGACTTTCTTTACCCCTTCTTTAAGCATAGTTCTCCTAAGTTTATGCACATCTGACCATCGCCTTTCGGCTGCATAAAGGTTCGAAAGGAGCACATAATCTCCAGAATGTTTAGGTTCTAACAGCTTAAGGTGATTTCTGGTCATCTCCGCTAGAGCTAAATGACCATGTATTGAGCAGGCACCGAGTAATGTTCGCCAAATCACCGCATTGGGTTGCAATGGCATGTCTGTAATATACTTGTACGCCTTTTCCACTAAACCAGCCCTTCCTAATAAATCAACCATGCAGCCATAGTGTTCAATTTTCGGCTTAATTCCAAACTCCTTTTGCATCCTTTCAAAGTAAGCAAAGCCTTTGTCCACCAAACCACAATGGCTACAGGCATATAACACCCCAACAAATGTGATCTCAGTAGGAACAAATCCTTTTCTTTCCATTTCCTTGAAAAGCTCAAGTGCTCTCTCACCAAACCCGTTAACAGCCAAACCTACAATCAAAGAGGTCCAAGAAACTACACTATCCTCCTCCAACTCATCAAAAATTTGCTCTGCCTCTTTTACATTCCCACATTTAGCATAAAGATCCAAAAGGGCATTTGCAGCATGCAAATTCTTATCCAAACCCACCTTCAACATAAACACATGCGCCCTTCTACCCAAAGCTAAAGCACCAAGCTCAGCAGAAGCAGTCAACAAACTAACCAAAGTAAACCCATCAGGCTTAACACCCTCAAAAGCCATTCTCCTATAAAGGGTCAACGTTTCATTAGGTCGACTATTCAAAGCATACCCATTAATCACTGAATTCCACGCCACAAGATTCTTGTCAGACATTTCCTCAAACACCTTATGTGCATTCTCTGCTTGACCAATAGCTCCATAAAAATGAACCAAAGAATTCTGAACAAACACCAACGATTCAAACCCATTTCTAATCGTAACGCAATGCACTTTTTCTCCTTCCCTAACATCAATCACTTTCGCAATAGCTTTTAACACAAAAGGGTATGTATGTGTATCAGGTGCAACAGAATTCACACACATTTCATTGTGTATTTCAATAGCTGGATACGGGTTTTCACTCTCAGCATAACCTCTAATCATTGTATTCCAAGTAAAGATATTTGGAAATTGAATTTGATAAAAGATTTTCTGGGCGTAACGCATTGGACCTGAAAGGGAAACTAGAGAGAAAATCAAGTACTTGCCCATTTCTGGGCTTGACAAAGGGATGCCACGTCTGATGGAAAATGCATGTACTTGCTTGAATTTGTAAGTTGAAGAGGCACATGAAAGCAAAAGGGCAATGCATTTTTTCAGAATGTATCGTTTTGTGCTCTCTCCACTGATGTTATGTGATTGCATGTCATTCATATTTTGAGGGAGAGCCGGTATGGTGGGGCAAAATATTTGTCTATATATAATGGTAACAATTTTCAAATTTAACCTCGTATAATGTATTTTCAAGTACCTTGTCCTTGTTACTGGTTATTAATATTGCTATTTTCATCTGGTTCTTAGGTTGCTAGTACCATACGATTCCAGAGCCGAGTTATAACAAAACCCAAGTTCCACATCCTAGTTGGCTAAAAAAAGGGTTAAAATGCTAGGTTGCTCGACCCTTAAATATATTTCCGAGTCGTCTTGGTTCTCTAAGTTTTCCAAGAATGAGCACTTTGATCTGTGTTACATACTTAACAAACTCTAACTATTAAATTTAATAAAAATTGTAAACAAAATGAAATATTCTATCAAGTTTGAGGGGTTGTCGATGTATTTGGCCTATATAAATTGTTGGAATTGATGCCGATTAAATGGTCTCTTGAGCCGAAAGTCTATCGGAAACATACTCTCTACCTTTAAGGTAGTGATAAAATTTGCGTACACACTAGCCTCCCCAAATTTCATTTGTAGGATTACACTAGATTTTTTTTGTTATTGTTGTCGTTGTTGATGCTAATTAAATGATTATCTCTGTTGATACACAGAGTCAACAAGGTGAATCTATTTTCAAACCATGTTGCTATATCCGTAATGGTCGCAATGCAGTATGGTTTGTGCTCTATTTGTTATTAGTTGGTGTTGGTTCTATCACATGCACTAGCTAGCATGTTGTATACGGTCGAAATCGGGCTCATCTATGATAGATCGGGATTGAAATGTTCCAATTTTTATTTTTTACTTTTTTTTTTTGAAATGGAAATACCTAACTAACCTAAATAATAAGAACTTCCCCATTGAAGATCGACCCTGGGTTCCATCGAACCACGGTACGAGGTGAGAACACCCGCCTTCGAGATCATCGAGTTCATGACCCCGGAATCGACCCCGACTCCGAATGAGCTCGAGGAAACATTGTCGGACCAAATATCGGAAGGCCAAAATATCCGTAACCGGTCGGATATCACGGCAGGAATCTCGGCATGTATTAATGAGAAAACGGTTAATTAGCAAAGCATGAGATTTTTTTACCTTTTATAGAGTTGTACCTAAAGTAGGACTCCCCGACTATATAAAGAGGGTCTGATTAGTTGTAAAGACATCGTAACACGCATCCCAAAGCAATATACTTTTATTTTCTCTCTAAAAGTTCTTATTCAATTGTGTTTTTATTCTGATCAAAGTGCATTCTCTTCAAGGGTGTTTCACTCTCCAAGGCTATTATCGCTCGATTCGTGTGATTCGAATTCACTTTATCGCACTTTATTTCAATTGTAATTCAATATATCGCTTTGTGTCAATTTAATCCACGTATCCTTAAAACCACTTATAAATTCAATTGTTATCCGATTTTGCGGATAAACAGTTTGGCGCCCACCACGGGGCTAAAGATAATAGTGATTATTTGATACAAATTTCCATAACACATACTATTTTACACTTGTTCTTTGAAGTGTCTCTCATTTCAGGTTAAAGCTCAAAATGTCAAATTCACAATTGGCACTCCTACTTGCTGACAATGAGTCCGGTCCCCATGGTGAAAATAACAACATAGCACCCGCTAACGAGGTACCGCCCGTAGATCCCATTGGAATTCCAGTCGCGGACCCGTTGGATGCCAACTCGCATATGGCTATCGACACAAACCTGCCTACCGACCCCGTGAATAGCATCCGTGGTGGAACCCGATCGACGACGCAGAATACTCAAAATAATGGAGGAGACGGAATCAATCTACGGATGATCTTCGAAATATTATAGGCTCAACAGGTGACGATAGCTTAGTTGCAAAACCAAAACCGCACACTGAGCAGAATTGAACCCGATATGTCCCGAAAAATCACCCGCAGGGGAGAACCGATCGCGGAGAGGCCGAGTGGGAACGAGTCAGGTACTAACCACGAGATCATAAAAATGCTCGAGGAGCTGACAAATGGATAGAATCGGGGGAGAAAAAAAAATCTAAGCAAGCGACAAAAAGGTGGAAACCTACAACTCCAGGGTCGACTAGATCCCAGGAGCGCCGCCAATGCTGAAAGGCTTGGATTCCAAGAAGTTTGTACAAAAACCTTTCCCTCCGAGTGCGGCTCCAAATCCGATCCCTAAAAATTCTATATGCCCGAGATTCCTAAGTACAACAAGACGACTGACCCAAATGAGCATGTCACTTCATACACGTACACCATCAAAAGAAACGACTTGGAGGATGATGAGATCGAGTCTGTCTTGCTGAAGAAATTCGGAGAAACCTTGTCAAAGGGAGCTATGATATGGTATCACAGCTTACCTCCTAATTATATTGACATATTTGCTATGCTTGCAGACTCCTTTGTGAAAGCACACACTGGGGCTATCAAGGTCGAAACTAGGAAGTCAGACCTCTTCAAAATAAGGAAAAAGGATAATGAAATGCTCAAAGAGTTCGTGTCTCGTTTTCAAATGGAACGGATGGACCTGCCACCGATCGCTGATGATTGGGCCATTCAAACTTTTACCCAAGGACTCAATGTTCGCAGTTCGGTGGCTTCATAGCAATTGAAGCAGAATCTGATAGAATATTCGGCTGTCACTTGGGCTGATATGCATAATCGGTATCAATCGAAGATCAAAATCGAAGATGATCAACTAGGGGCTCCTTCCAGATCCGTTTATCCTGTTAGACCCATCGACAGAGTTAAGAGAGATATCGATCGTGAACCAAGGCCGAACATGGATCGGTATCAGCCGTTCAATGAGGAACGAAGAAGTAGTGGGTTCGGATGGAGTTCTATGTGAAATGAAAGGAGAAATGACCGAGGTCTGAGTAGCCGGGGACTCATGAACAAGAACGGTTTCGACAGGCCTATCAGACCTAAAGAAGCACCAAGGTTATCGGAATATAACTTTAACGTTGATGCTGCTGCCATCGTATCGGCTATCAAACGCATCAAAGATACCAAATAGCCTCGACCTCTACAGTACGACCCAACCCAAAGGGATTAAACCAGATGTGCAAATATCATGGCACTCATGGCCACAGAACGAAGGATTTCCGATAGTTGAGGGAGGAAGTAGCCTGGTTATTCAACAACGGGCATCTTCGAGAATTCTTGAGTGACCGAGCCAAGAATCATTTTAGAAATAGGGATTCTAATAAACAAACCGAGCAAGAAGAACCTCAACACGTCATTCACATGATCATCAGAGGGATCGATGTTCCTATAAGACCGATGTTAAAGCGCATCAAAGTATCCATCACAAGGGAAAAACGAACTCGAGATTACATACCCGAAGGAACCTTGTCTTTCAGCGACGAGGACGCGGAAGGAATCGTGCAGCCCTATGATGATGCACTGGTAATAGCTACTGATGGATAAATCTCGAGTTAAACGTGTGTTAATTTATCTAGGTAGCTCGGCCAACATCATTCGATCGATGGTCATAGAACAGCTCGGCCTACAAGACCAAATCATGCTTGCAACCCGAGTTCTAAAAGGATTCAACATGGCATGTGAAACTATTAAGGGAGAAATAATGTTACCAGTAAATGCCACCGGGACCATCCAGGAAACCAAGTTTTATGTGATCGAATGAGACATGAGGTAAACTGTCCTGTTTAGAAGGCCACGGATCCACAACATGAGGGCAGTACCCTTGGCTCTTCACCAAATGTTAAAATTCCCAACGCGAGGAGGGATTAAGACGATCTATGGGGAGCAACCGGTTGCAAAGGAAATGTTTGCAGTCGAAGAAGTGATTCCAGTATCAACATCGACGACACCAAAGGAACCGAGTTCGGATACAAAGCAGGAAGCTAAATAGCAATTATCGACACCAACCACGACCCAATCAGATAAATAGGGGAATGGTGAAGACGATGATTACGGGGTTCCCAAATCTTTTAGAGTCCCTGATAATTCCGACGTTGTGAGCATGTGATTTTTGCCCTACTAAACAATACTCCTACAAAATTAAAGAAATAGATTTTTTGCAAATTGTTTTCAATTTTATAGAATTTTTGTAGGATTTTATTAATTGTTTGCATTTTTGTGCACGTTTAATTTTGTTAAAATCATTAAAAATGCCCCAAAAATGTCAAAAATTTCATGCATTGCATATTAGGTTTTGTGTTCATATTTTAGGATTAATTGGTTAATTAATTACTTTATTAAAATGAAAAATCACAAAAAATATTGTCCATTTTACATTTTTAGCTCTTAATATTAGATTAGTAATTTTCTCTTCATTAATCTAGGATTAATTAATTTTGTAAAAATTATAAATAGATAATTAGTTTGATTTTATTGATTAGATTAATTTAGGACTTTAATTAATTAAAGAAAAGGAAAAAAAAGGAAAAAACAAAGAAAAAGAAAATATGAAAAATATATTTTTGGTCTTGTTTCTTTTAAATTTCGGCCAATTCCTAAAATGGCCCAAATTAATTTTAAACCCCAGCCCAATTCCCATAACCCCTAGCCGATCCGGTCCCAAGATCCCAGCCGTTGATCTTCCATGATCCAACGGCTGGGAACTAACGTCCCCCCATTTAAAACTGTCTGAAGACACCCCCAAACCCGAAAACCCAATTCACTTCTTCGTCTCTCAACCCCAAAGACCAAAACCCTAGCCGCCCTCTCACCCCTCGCCGGCTCTGCCTCTCTCCGCCGCCTGAAAATTGCTTTATGGCGGTGGAGTACCTCCAAACCGCCTCAAATTCACACTCTGTAATCCCTAGCCTCCCTTCTTCACTAATCCACCAACCTTTTCACCAAAAACCCCACTAAATTCCACCAATTTCAAATATGACACTTATACCCAAAACTCTAAGTCGTCCAAACAACCCCAAAATCACACCGGATGACCCTCAACCTTCCCTCACCACTATCCTACCCTTGATTTCCCAAAAATCCCCATCGAATTCATCGAATCCTAAATCTACAAAGAATTAGAAACCCTAGTTTTATTTTTTTTAAATTTCTTCGGATTGTTTCCAAACTCGACTTAGTTGAAAAACTATGCTAATCAATCGTTCTCAATAAGAACGGTTGATTAGCATATTTTGAGCTAAATCGAAGGAGTTCCGACTTGCCAGACCC